GTCTGAGACTTAACAAGTTCAAGGAGGCTCAAGCTTTTTATACAAAGGTCCTATTGAGTTTGTAATTTGGACGTGGACCCCAAAATTCTGCATACAGCTGGATATGAATACAACAGATGGACATATAAATACAAAAATTCATAGTTTAAATAAACAAAATAACCTTGATGTTGAGAAATCTGCTGGCTGATGGCTGCCATTACTTTGGAGCGGAACTGAACACATTTACACCAACAGTGGAAACAGAGATGTTTGTGTTACTGGTTTCTCCCATCAACAGGTGACTGTGAATGTGGAGGTTATTCAGAAACAACTGCCTGAAAAAACAGCATATTGCTCCTGTGTAGCCTCCACAGTCTGGATGTGAAAAACCTGCGAGAAATTATCAAAAATTACCTCCTTTATTAGAATTTAAATAATCAAACTGACTGATTTCTGCGATTGTCACCTTCAGAAATGGACCATTTCATTCAAATCTGACACACAATTTTGTAAAGTAGAATTTCTACCAGAAAAAGTGGTGCCTTGCAAAGCAACAGACCAGTGGCATAGAGCCTTATCATTTGCAGTCTCGACGGTGTGACCTCTACAGAGCCCTGATCTCAACATTGTACAGTCAGTGTCACATAGAGAGACTGACGATCCAATCCACACAAGAACTGTGGCAAATTCTCCAAGACAGACAAGATCTGGTGCTGTTAAAGTCAGAGGGTGCTCACATGGAATCATATTTGTTGGGTTCATTGACTTTCAAAAAAACTATCCATGGTGATATTTCCAAACTTCAGGGCCAAAAATTCTTCCACGGGACTTTTATTAATTTGAAGCTTTTGTGCACAGATCAATTAGTCTGTGATGAGGTCAGAAAGCAAGTTTCTGCAGATGGAGATCCGTAATGCAGGAAGAAACATGACTGTTGAGGCAAATTATTCATGTGTTAACTTTTAATAAGCCTCAAAAATAAATGTCTAAAATGACTCATGCTAAAATTAGGATATTTAGACAGCTGGAAGGTAGCTTCTTCAATATATGGTGTTTATGTGACACCTCAAATCTCTACATTGGAGGTGGAGAGTGCAAAGTTAATATTGAACAGCTGCAGTTTCTGACTGTTGTCAACATAACGGAAGGTATGTTACATGTTTTCTTGAAAAAGGGNCAATATTAAAAGTTAACGAGGCCTGTGGGTGGTTTATTTTGCTTATTAACTAAGAATTTCAGCTCTACATTCTACACAGTTCCATCATGCCGACCAAATGACCTCTTGACGAACTACGCGGTTTCTCATCCAGAAACCTTTTTCATCTTCACAGCATCACTGGATCTCACACGCAGATAGCGTTTCTTCCATAGCTTGCTCTAATGCTCTGTTAGCACGCAGGCCAGTTATAATGATGTGAGTAAACATGACAGCTCTGCACGGGCAAATCAACCCCATACCAAGCACGACAAAAACAACACAGACTAGTAAAGAAAAAAAAAGAAAATAAAGAGGAAAACTAACACGAACACTGAGATGCTGACAGAGGAAATCATCAAATCTAGCTGTCAATTTCTCTCTGTCGTCTGGCAAAACAATGAAGACGTAGAAGAGGGAAAGATATGGCTATGAGATGAGGAAGATGTGTGGATGAGGAGGGATGTAGGCAGGGGGGGCGGCCAGTCTTCAGGGAGCTGACCTCAGAATAAAGAGAAACCGGTGTCTTTCCTCCAGGGTCTGTTAGTGATACGATCAATGCTCCAAGTGGGCTGTTACTAACCGTTACACAAGACAGGCACTTCTACATTCTACTCTTTGGCGTTCCATGACTTTCTCTGACCTCCTAAAAGCTGCCACTAGTCTTTTGTGCGCTCACCATATCAGGCAATTTATAATGGCAATGACTAGACTGCATCACCCAGGAAGCACTATGGGACACTCGCTTGCCTACTTTTCTCTGATGGCAGCTACTCTAAGTAACTAGGGGAGGAATTTTGTTACTTTTATTCACTATAATACAAGTCCACTGATCACAAACAGAAATCCAGTAGTTTTATTGCATACAATATGTAATAAAAGTGAGTATAATATCACTGCAATATCAATTAAATGATTCCAAATGAGATCAGCTGACAGTAATAACATTAAATCTAAATTGAATAGGAGGGATTTGCTCTTATTTAATATCAAAAACAGTTTAAACTTACTATTTGAAAAATACAGGCACCACAATAGGTACTATTTGTTACATAAATTACTGGAGAAATGTTCTGCTTTTCTTGGCAGACTGCGATTTTGTTATTTACATGCTGCTGCAGTCACAGTGAAGTTTTACAATAAGGTCTAAAAAAAGTTACTTCTGAAACATGAATAAATAAGGTGAATAGTAGTGATGTGAAGTTGAGGCCTAATGCTGTGTTCACACCAGAAGCCAGTAAAATCATTCGCGCAAATGATTTACATGTAAAGTCAATGTGAAGACGCGATGAGACGCGAATAAACGTCCCGCGGTGCGACTCGCGCGATTGACGTGAATTGAGCGAGTTTGACGCGCATTTGATGCGCATTTGACGTGCCATAAGTGCGTATCGCGCGTCTAAAGAGCAAGTTGAAAAATCTGAACTTTTGCAATCTGACGCGCCGCGATGGCCAATCAGCGTTGAGATTCTCTGGTGAAGTCAACAACATGATTCATTCATTTTTTGCAACTACACTGTGAATACTGATTATTAAATTAAAAATTCTTTTGACTCTTCATTACTAGTGTTAAGTTAAAACTGGTTCTCAAAATAAGATGTGATGGTGGAATATTCTGAAGTGTGTTGCACATACATTTTGCAGCTGAAATAGAGTTATTTTCTTTTGTTTAAGATTAGATAAAACATTTAAGCCACATGTTGTCAACTTTACCAAACAGACTCATTGACTTGCTGTTAAAACTGGTAAGAAGAAGTCAAAAGAGAACTGTTTCCAGTGTCATATTGATGTGTTTTATATAACTCACCAGGACATAAAGAGGGATTTTTTTTCCCCTTTTGGACTGCTTGAATGCCACTTTCCGTCCTTGGCCCCGTTTCAAAATATTCCAATGAATTATTGATCAAAAATGCTTCCAAACAACTGCACAGATAATCAACAGATTGCCTGCATCACAATGAGAAAATGTCCTGATAATGAGACCAGCCTCAGTGTCTTCCAGATGCAGCCGGGAAACACTGATGCAGCTAAACCTTGATTTCATGCATGAGCTAAATTTACACTGCGTCTGGTCTATAAATAGCAGCAGGCCGTTGTCTGG